CAACACATCCTCACCCACCTCAACACACCCTCACCCACCTCAACCTACCCTCACCCACCTCAACACATCCTCACCCACCTCAACACACCCTCACCCACCTCAACCTACCCTCACCCACCTCAACCTACCCTCACCCACCTCAACCTACCCTCACCCACCTCAACCTACCCTCACCCACCTCAACACACCCTCACCCACCTCAACCTACCCTCACCCACCTCAACACATCCTCACCCTCCTCAACCTACCCTCACCCACCTCAACCTACTCTCACCCACCTCAACACACCCTCACCCACCTCATCCTACCCTCACCCACCTCAACCTACCCTCACCCACCTCAACACACCCTCACCCACCTCAACCTACCCTCACCCACCTCAACCTACCCTCACCCACCTCAACACACCCTCACCCAACTCAACCTATCCTCACCCACCTCAACCTACCCTCACCCACCTCATCCTACCCTCACCCACCTTAACCTACTCTCACCCACCTCAACACACCCTCACCCACCTCAACCTACCCTCACCCACCTCAACCTACCCTCACCCACCTCAACACACCCTCACCCACCTCATCCTACCCTCACCCACCTCAACCTACCTTCACCCACCTCAACATACCCTCACCCACCTCAACACACCCTCACCCACCTCATCCTACCCTCACCCACCTCAACCTACCCTCACCCACCTCAACCTACCCTCACCCACCTCAACACACCCTCACCCAACTCAACCTACCCTCACCCACCTCAACACACCCTCACCCAACTCAACCTACCCTCACCCACCTCAACACACCCTCACCCAACTCAACCTACCCTCACCCACCTCAACCTACCTTCACCCACCTCAACATACCCTCACCCACCTCAACACACCCTCACCCACCTCATCCTACCCTCACCCACCTCAACCTACCCTCACCCACCTCATCCTACCCTCACCCACCTCATCCTACCCTCACCCACCTCAACCTACCTTCACCCACCTCAACATACCCTTACCCACCTCAACACACCCTCACCCACCTTAAAACACCCTCACCCACCCTTACCCACCTGAGCCCTTCTGATTCTTTTATACCACAAAGTTGCCCCTCTTGCATTCTAGTAATTTGGTTACCTCAGCCCCTCCACCTTCCCCCCTCGTGAAAATTTTCTTAACTTACCTACACCTTTTTGTAACTTTTCTATGGGAATGATACCCCCCAAATTTGCCCTCACACGTTAAATTACCCTTAGTAGTACCCCAAAAATTAACTCTCTATAACCTAATGCCTGACATGACTATTTTAACCAGTAATATCTATACATTCTTACATATATATATATATATATATGTGCAACCAAATAGGTTATGATTAGACTGCTAAAACTGTAGTTTTCCAAACATACATATAAATGTATGTACACACATTAATATATTAGTAAAAGTGCATGTGTAGATATTAACAATTATCATATTACACATAAACAGTATTTTCATCTAGCAAAATCTTGATTTAAACAATAACATGTACATGTAAATGTTGAAAGAAGGACTTCATTTCATTTCAGTCATAGAGATATAATTTAGCTATGGTCTTATTATTTTTCCATTATGTACTTAAAATAATATATGCTTTCTACAGATTGGATTATGCTACATTCTGTTCTTCATTTTACATTTATTTAGTACATTTAATACATAGAAAAATATTTTCACACTAATTTATCTAAACATGCAGTACAGTAATTATTTCCAATGATTTTTTACTAAATATTATGATTTATTTATTACTTTATTTGTAGTTTGATAGTTAGTTGTATCAATGCAATTGTTTTATATTTTCTTTTTCATGATTTTAAAGATCCATTTGAAAAATTCCATTATTGTGAATATTGTTGCATGAAAGAAATATTTTCAAATTTTATATGCTTTGTTCGCTCTAAAATTTATTTCATTTTTACATACATACAGAAATAATGACATTTGAAAATGGAAGCTCAAAATTTAATTTCCTATTTTAAATGATTATATTGCAAGCATGAAACAAAAAAGTATGAAATTTGCAAAGATATTTGTTTCATATGTAATACAATTTGATTTTACATGTAGATTTAAATCTTTATTCAATACACTGCATGAAGTACATTATATCTATATAAAATAAATCAGTAATTCTAACATAATTGTATATAATTGAAAGATAAAATGGATTTCCAGACATGATTTGTAGGTAATGATTGCATGAAAATTATTGTTTTTGGCAATAAAATAGTTGGTTATAAGTTGCCTATTTCAAAGCAGATAAATTTGATTTAATTAAGTAGTTGACTAAATCTTTAACATTTTCAAAGCAGATCAATTTGCTTAATTCAGTAGTACCGGTACACTAAAATCTGAACATTTTTAAAAGCAGATCAATTTGCTTAATTTAGTAGTCAACTAAAACCCTATCATTTTCAAAGCAGATAAGATTGATTTAATTATGTAGTTAACTAAAACCTTAACATTTTCAAAGCAGAAAAATTTGCTTAATGAAACATTAATAAGTTTAATATTTCAGCAATAACTCAGTGTAGTGTTGGCAAACAGAAATAAAAATTTAAAACCGCATTAAAGACACGAGAGCATGCTGGAAGTTTTCTTACTTTATTTTTTATAAAAATGAACATTTCCAAGTGAAAACATGAATTATGAGCACACTTTTGAAGCTCAGGCACCCAAAAATATCTCTAAAAACAAATGAACTATAATCTATTACATTAACAATGAGGAATAAATCTAAATCGGTACTGTAGTAAAACCAACTTAATAAAAAAGTTTTGCTTACACATGTAAACCAACTAATAGCACTTGTAAGCTTGCACCCCCTTAAAACCCTGTTAGCTAATAAATTGATTACTATTGTTAGGTTTTTGTAATAGTCTTTTTTAGCAAAAATGCACTAATAGAATTGGAATAGAAAATTTGAGGTGATGAAAAGACCTGTAACCCTGTATGCTTTGTTTCAAGTAGTGTTTTAGTCACTGCATTTTCTACTTTGCAAATTTTTTGTAAATTTGTTGCAGACTTTACTTTTTAGTTATTTTGTTTCCTCCTTTCATTTGCCATTGTCTTTCAGAAGAGTTGACATAAATGTACATGACATTGATTTTTCTCTCCAAAAAGAATTATATTTCCTTGCATTGATATATCTCAATGTTTACTATGAATTATATGAAGGTGAAACCTTATTTACTTTAAATATAAGAAAGCTATTATTCTCAGATGAAAACCCTTTTAAATGAATGGAGCTGTCAACCAAGTACATTTATATCATACTTTATTTTCATATGTATATGTTTATGACATGTACTTGTACATGTTTATACATGTATTTTTGTATTGAAACAAGTGTGATGACATACATGTAATATACTGTATGTGTACTCTCTGTTCATGTGATATACCAGTATAAATTATCTGACATTTACTTTCATACATTTCATATGGATACATGTAGATTATATAATTAGTAGTAGTTAGTAATAGTATGCATAATTGATGCATAGTACTCTTGTTTTACCATCATTGTTCATGAATTTATGATTCCAATCGGTCAAGACATTTCTCATGAGCTCTCTCTTAACTTAAAGCTAGGATTTAAGAAAGCTTAGGAACCATTCTCCTCAAGGATCCTGATTTCCTCTTAATTTGACGTTCCAATAACCTTTAACATCAAACGTGTGGACGTTGCTGGAATTCAAATGTTTCCTCAATACATGCGCATAATTCCAGTCCTCTCCGTCCTATCATTGCTACTAACCCTAAATAAAATAGACTTTCTTTATAGAGGGTATTGACAGGCTTGATAATTTTAACCCCTCTTCAAAGAGGTTAAAAAAGATTTGCAGGGAATAGAATAAGGAATTGACACTAACCTAAAATTTCAGATATTCCTTCCTGACCTAAATGGACTATAATTGTGTTACCTTTCAAGATGTTGTAACTACTAAACTACTCTGGTCTTCTGGATATTATATATTTTCTTTTTGGAGCCAGAAGGGCGTTAACTCATATACTTAAACTACAGAGATAACACCTTTCTTTCTCTGAACAGATGATATGTCTTATCACTGTTACCAAAAAGAGTGTTTTCTCCTGACTATCGTCTGCTTTCTTTAATATTCAAGTTATCATATTAGTGTGCCAATCCCTTATTTAAATCATGAGTGATTCTCTATAAATAACAACCGCCCTCTATTGCCAATCCGGTGAGTTAGCTAACACCCCCTCCTCCACCCCCCACGCACCCTGTTCATCATCCCATACAGGCCGGCTCACTCAGCCGGATCCAAATCTTGTAGATACATTTTCTGTAATTGAGTGTACCATTTTCTTCTGTATATCGTATCTCACTAACTTACCAAACATCCAAATGCCTTTAATACAAATTGTAAGGACGAGTGTGCTAATACCCTCTTCAGTCGCAATTTGTTCTCACTAATTTGTCCAGCCATGGAGTGTATGCCCCCCTCCCCCCAAAGACCATGTCTATCCTCTCTTTACCCACCCATACTGGCTAACTAACTTGGTTTGGTGCTACCCAATCCTCTATGATCAATTTTTGAAGGAGTGCGCTAATACTTTCTGTAATGGAGATCGGTTTTCACTACCTTGTCCAGCCATCTAGTACACTCCCCCCCCCCCCCCTTAGGAAGACAATATCTCCCCCCCCCCCCCCTCCCCACTATCTCCCCTTGTCTACCAGTTCAGGCCAACTAAGTGCACTGGATACAATAAACTCCCTGGATTTATACCAAGATCAGGAATGAGCGTGCCGATACCTATAACCACCCTAGCAGGCCAGCTAACTGAGCTGGGTGCCAACACCAAAATCACGAACTAAGTGTGTCAATACCTTATATATAAACTGCTATTGGTTTCCACTAACTTGCCAAACCAGCAAGCACACTGACACACCCCCCAAAGACAAAACATCTCCCCTCCACCTATACTCATGCAGGCAATACGTTGAAGGGCGGCGGCCGCTTGATGATGGGAGCTTCGGGCCACACCCAATTGGGCGGTGGCGTTTCTCCTGCCATCTCTAAAAAACACCTTACTCTTGGCTCTCGCACATCAGCGACCCGGAACGGCTCTGTCACGGAGCAGGACCTGGCCATGCCCAGGAAGCAGGAGGCGAGGAAGGCTGCCCTCTATGTCTTCGGAGAGAAATCCCAACTGAGGGTGGGTAGTTGCATTCAATTCAATTCATTCAATTTCAATATATTGTCCAATATTGGGAATTTGTTTTGCTCACATGCATATATGTAGAGTCAAACCTGCATTAGTGACCACCTGTCTACAAAGACAATGTGTTTTGTTTCCCTTGAAAATGGTTTCTCATTGAAACATGACCTAAAGGCTGCCCTCTATGTCCTCAGAGAGAAATCCCAACTGAGGGTGGGTAGATAAATACATGCATTTATGTACAGTCAAACCTGCATTAGTGACCACCTGTCTACAAAGACCACATGTTTTGTTTCACTTGAAAATGGTTTCTAATTGAAACATGACCTAAAGGAACCTATATACAAAGACCACTTTTTGTGTTTCCCTTGGGCAGTCGCTATAGACAGCTTTGACTGTACTTGTTTTCTTCCCCTGAAGAATATATGTTTTCTCAGACCTGTGACTAAAGGCTAGGATTAAAGTCCTATGAAAAAAAGGAAAACTTGGACTGCTAAAACCAAACTTTAGACCAAACTTAAGCCAACATCAGGTGTACACTTTAGTAGAGTACAGACCCATGTGTTCAGGAGGATGTTCTCATCCTGATTAATACCAAATCAATATTTTTTAAGTTCTCATTGTAGAGGTGTTGTGGCCTAATGGGTACTTCACCGGACTGTGGATCGCATCTTTCGCACATCAAGGTCTTATGTTCTTTGGCACTTACAAAACTGTATATCCTTTGGCAAGACGTCAACGTACATTTGCCACTCTCTTTGCAGGTTAAGTGAATGGGTACCCAGTAGGAAGATATCTTTATAGTGCCTTTATCTTAGTGGCTCAGCTACAGCCAGGGTAATGATAAAGAAATTTGTATCAGCCACAGTAGAGTATATGTGTTAGAAGCTGCAATATATTAAAGCCCATCTGTACTAGTGTACAGGAGGGATTAGACCACCCTGCAAGATCATTGTACAGGTGGTTATCTCATCAAATCAGTAATTAACATAAGAAAAAGAGGATCATGGGGGGACCAATGTCACCGATTATGCAGTGTTTGTTATATAGATGGCGAAAGTGGCTGTAAGTAGTGCAGTGGGCCTTTAACGGACATGCTATTACTTTCTGCCCTTCTTATTATTCTGTTGCCCATTTTCTTTTTCTCTCGCAGAACTTCAAATCGGACCAGAACTCCAAATGTGACTTCATTCCTTACGACTACTATGAGACGAGGCACATCAAGGCTAGCTTTAAGAAACTGATGAAGGCTTGTCTCCCGAGCAACCCCATGACCGACCCAGAGATGGGCTTCCACAAGATGGTCGGAGAGTCAGAGTGGTTGTTACAGGTAAGATGCTGAGATGGTAGAGAGTTGGGTGAAAGGGAAGAAGGATAAGAAGGGGAAAGAGAGGAAGGAAATGGAAAGGTAGAAAGGAAGGATAATTAGAAGAGAAATAGAATGAAAGGGAAGAAGTGAGAGTGATGGAAAAGGGAGGAGGAGTAGAGATGAAAGAGAAGAATAAAGAAACAAAGAGAAGGGGATAGAAAGAGAGAGAGAGAGAGAGAGAGAGAAGGGGGAGGGAAGGAGGGAGAGAGAAGGTGGATACAAAAGAGATATCTACCTGTACAACCCTAACGCTAACCTTAACTATAACCCTAACCTAAAACCCTATTGCAATCAATCCTTAATCATAAATCTTATATATCTAAGATGAAACATAGCACATGGCAATAGTTCCTGGTGAAGATATCGGTTCACTCAACAGAGTGAACACATATACATGTACATTGGTAATGAAAACACATCTTTTTAATGAACTGTAAATCTTAGCATATCAGGAGCTCTTGTAGCGTAGTAGAATATATTCTTAATGTTGCGATAGTTTCTGCGCCATATAAATGTATTATTATTATTATTAATGAGAAGAGGATACAGATTCCCTTTATAAAGCATTTTTAGTCATTTAGTAATTTACTTTGGGTAATTCTTCTCTCCACAGATCCAGAACATCATGCAGCTAGCAGGAGCAGCGGTAGATCTGATAGATCTCCAAGGCTCGTCTGTATGGCTAAGCTTTGAAGACGGCTGGGACTTCACCACCCAGGTAGGTACACCAATGACTCCAGGGGGGTGTTTCACAGAGACTAAGCTCGACTTTATGTTGGACTTAACTATGCCTGGCCATTTATGCCACTTGTTGCTCTCACCATTGGTCTCTCCATTATGATCTTTAGATAATGTTTTCCTTCAATAATGAAATATCAAAAGACATAAATGCTGTAGATTTGTGACCATGATTTGTACGTCATGTGAGAGACCAATGCCAGTAAATGGTGAGAGCAAACAGTGGCATGACAGTCTGCCATAGTTAAGTCCAACTTAAAGTCAAATTTAGTCTTTGTGAACCCTCCCCCCCCCCCCCCTTTCCCCATTTCTTTGACAAATTAGCTCTCGGCCAATCAAATGCCACAATTTCAGTAGCTTTTAACGGTTATTGTAACTTGTCATTCATAACGATTTTTATGAAACAGGGCTCTGATGCCCAGTGAATGCTACACCATCCCCCTGTGAGCTGATTTTGGAAGAATCATTCGTTACAAACATTAAAACATGCAAAATCTTGATGACCCAGGATCCGAATAGTCATATGATTTAAAAAAATCTCATTTTTGTCTAGGGTCAGTCTCGTTGGTGAGACCAAGGTATAATGACGGTGTTGTTTTTTTAAAGCATTCACACAGAAATATATTTTGGTCTCTATGTTCAGGATTATAAGCTAGCATGGATAAGTTCTGAAGATGTCCTGAAGACATCAAAAAGTGTATAACCTCTTATTCCTTTAGAAAATCATGTAAAACGCTTCTGTTAACTTCTCTTAACTAATCTACATGCGCCTTGAGCACTCCACAGAGTGGATTTGCCGCTATACAAGTTACATTTATTATTATTAAGATGGATGGGACTGCACACGTTTTATTACAATTAATTTCTCTTTTTATCTTTGAAGGTGAGTGCACTTGCCCAGCTTCTGATGGACCCCTACTACCGTACACTGGCTGGCTTCAAGGTCCTGGTGGACAAGGAATGGCTCGCCTTTGGTCATCGATTCACTCACCGCACCAACCAGACCATTACCCATCAGACCAGCGGCTTCGCTCCTGTCTTTCTACAGTTCCTGGACTGCGTGCACCAGGTAACCTTTGACCTTTGTATCTGTTAGGTTGATCTTTTCTAGTTAATGTGCACAACAGTCAAATTTTGCTGAGGTAACCTCTGACCTTTGTATCTGTTAGATATATCTTTTCTGTTTAATATGCACAAGAGTTGAATTTTGCTGAGAGGTAACCCTTGACCTTTGTATCTGTTAGATATATCTTTTCTGTTTAATATGCACAAGAGTTGAATTTTGCTGAGAGGTAACCCTTGACCTTTGTGTCTGTTAGATATATCTTTTCTGTTTAATATGCACAAGAGTTGAATTTTACTGTGTTTTTAAAGTTCCATGTTATTTCTGGACTGGACTTTGTTAGGAAAAGGTCCGAGCAAGCTCTCACGGTCAGAGACGATGGATATGCATAGCCAGCCACCCCAGACCTGGCACAACACAAGATGAATGAATGTATCATGTAAATTAATTTGTACATGTGCACTTTGGCCAGAGCGCTTAATGAACGTCCTGAAAAAGAACTTACTGAACACATTTCCAATGTCATTTTAGTATTCAATGGATAAACAGTAACACATTTTTGTCACCAACTTTTCATTCTTTCCTTCTCACATCCAGGTTCATTCCCAGTTCCCTCTCTCGTTTGAATTCAACCAGTACTTTCTCAAGACGATAGCTTATCACTACGTATCCAACCGCTTTCAGACATTCATGTGGGATTCAGACTATGAAAGATATCAAGCAGGTATGTCATAACCATTCATATTGGCTAAATCAATCATATTTCTTGTTCAAATTGGCAATGCAAGTATTTTTCTTTTGATGCTACATTTTTTATTTAAATGGTCAAGACGATAGCTTATCACTACGTATCCAACTGCTTTTAGACATTCGTGTAGAATTCAGACTATGAAAGATATCAAGGAGGTATGTCATAACCATTCCTCTGGGATTAAATCACTAATTTTTTCTTTTTCAAATTGGCAACACTTGTATTTTTCTGTTGATGCTACATTTTTCATTAAAGATTCAAAAGAAAATTGTGTACTTTTGAAAATATACATTTTTCATTTTGTTCGTCTGATTTTGTTGATATTTATTTGGATGGAATATCAAATGATCTTTTGATACAATGTGAGACTGTATTTAAAGACTGGTAGTAGTTAGCTCTCATGGGGAATTCAACACCGTTCGGGTGTTTACCCAATAAGAGGTGCTGTCAATCACCAGAATTGGCCTTCAGTTTTATGATCAGCAGGTTTTATGTAATGTACTGCGTTTTCCACCCATTCCTCCACATGGTAAAGTCATTATCTCACTTTTCCCTCACCCGAAGACTCTCTGAGAGACGAGGGAGTATTTCTTGATTGGTCTATGGGTTCGCTATGTGCAGACCTAGCACCTGAACACACGTTAATGATTTTTATTCACCAAGTCTGGGGTCAGCCAATTATGGCCTTCTGCACATGGAAACTGACGACTGACTCCCTTTAACATGATTCATTCCAATCTCTTTTCGCAACCAAAACGGTACATGAGCTTTAATCTTATTTCTTGTCTCTTTGGATCACAGCAACCCAAGTGTACGAGGAGAGAAGACCGTCAAGGATCGACGAGAGCGGAGACAGCGACAGCGAGACGCCCAGCCCACCCCTCAAGTCACTCTGGGACTACATGGACAAGTACCACCCCCGGTCGCCAATCTTCTATAACTTCCAGTTCGCCCCGCACACAACCGTAAATGATGTAAATTATTTTTGTACTTTTAAAACAAAAACGTTTGGTGTTTGAGAGAGAATCTAAAAGCTTAGATGCATAGATACTCCTTCTCGCCTCTCATCATAGCTTTTCAAAGCATTGGATGCACTCTCTCTCCCTCTCAACATTCTTGGTTGCCATGGTTACTTCTCGCATCAGCTAAGTAGTATCCTCTTAGTTTCATCCTTTTAACATCAGATTTCAACTGATTTTGGGGTAATTTAAGAAAAATTGCGATTAATTGTTTATGATGAGCTGAATATGGCAAGGAAATAATGTCATTTTAAGGTAGAATTCATTTTTCTAAATAAAAAAAGGGGTTGTTTTGGGGTATTTGAAACCCTGTGGCTCTTTAATTCTTCCTTAATTTTTCTTTCTTTGTCGTAACTGCATCTTGTCTTGAAAATGCATTAAAATTTATACAAATCTTTGCTCTTTTCAATAAATTTTCATTTTGCAACTAATTCTATTCTCTTTTACAATTCTTGATCTTAAAAAAAAAAAAGTGCAATTTTAATCAACAAAACAAATGGCACACTTCCAATGTCAAAAGCTTGCATTCTGACATTTTGACCGCGTAATAAAGGGAAAGCATTACGGGATTAAACTTCTTAAGTCATGTATGTTACATTATCATTTCACTGCCTTCATCTATGAATGGCAGTATTCAATATGATTGGTAACCTTTTTTTTTCTTTTTCGGGAGGGGGGGGGGGGGTGTTTAGGGGGCGAATGCAGCTTTTTCTTCTGAGAATGTGCAAACTGTAAAATGAGAAGTAGCATTTTAGTTTCAACAGCATCTCACATTTAGCATGAAGCATGTTCTTCTGGTGATATATATATAAATTATTTTTATATTTTTGCTTTTAAAATGATTTAAACTCATTTAGAAGAACTTTATAAGCAACATTCAGAGACTATTTTTGTATTTGCTACAGCATTCTAAGTTATAACTTTAAATAATGTTTTAAGAGAGTTAAACAGATTTCTGCAGAAAAGAATGTCTCTTTTGCTTCATGCATGACAATTTTAGGAAAACATCTGTAGTTTATGCATTAACTCATTCATAAGATCTCATACATTGTAGATTTTACCATTATATACTATTGCAGTTAGTTTGTAGAATTCTGAGAAACTTCCAAAGCTTTGAGATTATTTGGCAAAGCATTAATCAACATTTGCCACTCCATGAGGGGACTGGGTAGGAGGACGAAAGCCTTTGTGTTTTATAGTTTTATATTTTGAAGCCGTTTGAGCGTTTAATTAAAATGGATAATGGCGCTATATAAATCTCATGTATTATTATTATTATTATAGTAATAATATGGTAAAAATATCTTTAAAACACCTAGATACGCTATTGATATGAAATACTGTCTGTAATCACTTTACAGATATGTATTTATCAAAGAGTGATTTATGCCAATAATTGAATTACTAGATAGACTGGAAAACTTTGTAAGTCATCCCATTTTTCATTGTCCAACATTCTGAGGCATACACCTAGTCTTCAATTCTGTGTGTACATGTACTCCAATGAGGAGAATCTCAATGGTAAGTTTTATGCAATGGGGCCCTGGGATGACTTCTCGATAGACCAAATAAAATTTTCTCGATTGTCCCTTCTCCAAGGTCCTGAGACCGTACACCAACACGTCTACCCTCACGACCTGGGACAATTTCTCTTTAGTTCGACTATTTCTAATTTAAAAAAATCTTGATTGTCCCTTCTTTTAGGTCCTAAGGTCGTACACCAACATGTCTGGCCTTACGACCTGGGACAATTTATCTATGGTTGGACTATTTCTAATTTTTAAAAATCTTGATTGTCAATTCTCTAAGGTCCTGAGACCATACACCAACACCTCCAGTCTCATCATCTGGGACTACTTCCTCAAGGAGAACCTCTACGGTGGGCCATCCTACGATCGGGAACTCTTTGAGTCAGCGACCAATGAGGACAACGAACAACCCCTGGAGCAGACGGACAGAAGGACGGTCAACGCGAGCTATGATGATGTGTCGCACGCAGAACCCGATATCCACAGGTGGCTCCTAGAAGTAAGTAGTGTTTTAAAGCGTAATGCAACGTTTGCTCTGACTAGATATGTTCGATGGCATTTACATACCTGCCAACTACTACGCTGTTGGTGTTATTATTACGATTTTCTGTTTTAAATTTATTATATGCCTTACAATTTTGTGTCACAAAATTATGATTTTTTTTTTTTTTTTGCCCGTTTACCTGGCATTGTCCAAGCCGACACTTACCCGTGCCCTAAGAGCACCGGCATGGTACCGTGGGTAAAAATGTTTCCCAGCTCAATCACTGTCAACTCACCACTCAGAAACTGGGACCAAATGTCTGGATTTCTGTTTGGAGGAAAATTAGTCTGTCATCTTTGGTTTTTAAAACAGCATTGTTTACTATGATTATTATAATTAAATCAGCGCCTTCAACCGCAACTCGAAGTAAAATCGCGTGTTTTCGGTGACGGACCTGGGATACTTCTATCGTAGTATGGTGGTGGCAAAAAACAACAACATGGCGTCCGAGTATTCGCCTGTAAGCCTGGGAGTGTACTCGAGTACCTCATTACATGCTTGTGCACTGCCCTTTATTTTTCTCCTCCAGGGTCTATTTCATCAGGGGAATTTTTAGCTTTTAGTCCTTGTTTTTTTTTTTTTTTTTTTGTGGGGAGGGGGTTGCATAAGTGTTGAAAAATGAGTTTAAAGTTAAGGGAAAGGGCATTCCTAAAGCTCCCTCCCATGAGAGGGGGGACAGCCCTCTCCCACACTCACCCCCCGCTCGGTCGCTTCGCTCCCTCACAGTCCTCGTAAAAAAATATTCCTATTTTTAGTCTTCAAAGGTATGCATTTAGTGTAATTAAGGAATTGGGAGTTGAATATAATAATAATAATAATAAGATATTTATATACCGCAAATTGCAAATTGCCCCTAAGCGGTTGAATATAGAATATAGACATGTATGATATTTTATCATTTCTAATCAACAATGCACGATTGTATTCTGTGCTCAATAATAAAAAATAGTAACAGGCAGTGTCTTTGGAATGTTTCAACACCCTTCAAACCTGATAATTCCCTGATTTAAATCGGTTCCCAATAATTATTTTTTCTGATTTTCGGTTGATTTAAAAAATAAAAAAAATTGAATTTTTTTTTATCAGGATTTTTTTTCTTCAAAAAATGGATAGTCCCTGAGATCAATGTAAGTCCAGTTTAAAAATGGGGGTAGGGTGAGGTTCCTTTTTCGTGACTTGCTTGAATGCCTTGCGTAAGCGCTTTACACCCTGCTTCTCTTGCATTTCTAAAACCTTTGTTTTTAAACCCTCACTATTACCCCTGACCCTTCCACATATGTCCACTTTTCAGGAGATAAGGCAGTTGGAGTCTGACCTCGGGAAGCCGCACAAGAACTGGAAGCATCTGTTAGAGCACATGGAGGCAAGGTTTGTGACGAGGAGAAAGAGAACGTCTCAAGCCACTGAGGAAGCGAGGGTTCAAAGCATGACGGCGCACAAGAAAACCACCATTGATATTCTTGTCAGGGTGAGTTCACATTTAGTTTTATTCATGAAGAAAGTGCATCTTCTTTAATTGATTTGATGAGTAGTGTCAGAACACACCTGCCAGTAGCAAGGGTTATTGGTATTTTAGCAAGGATTCAAAGCATGACAGCTCACAAGAAAACCACCATTGATATTCTTGTCAGGGTGAGTTCACATTCAATTTTATTCATGAAGAAAGTGCATCTTCTTCAATTGATTTAATGAGTATTGTTAGAACACACCTGCCAGTAGCAAGGATAATTGGTATTTTCACAAGGGTTCAAAGCATGACTGGCGCTGCTCAGTGGCTGCTGGGCTCACGATCAATTGGGCAAAAAGAATTTTTGTTCCGGTTTAATAAAATTCGGAGTGGACTACAAGATTATTATTATTATTAGTATTATCATATTTTTTGTAAAATGTGGAACAATAAAAACTAGAATTATTTTTTATTTCTTAATTCCTCAGGGCAAGAACATTGGGGAGCCGCCGACGAAAGGGTTCAACTTTCCGCATCACTTTGAGCCGTGTAGCTACATGACACCAACTAGCTGTGACTTCTGCAATCAGATGCTCTTTGGGGTCGTCAAACAAGGATGTACAGGTAATTGCCTCTGAACTTCTTGTCTTATGCCCCCACAGCATACTTTACAATCTGGCTATGTTTCGCCTTAGTAAGAATTCGCAATAGCATTTTATAGAGAGATTAAAAATTACAATTGTAATAATCAAGGATCTGAATAGTTTGGGAACAATAAAATTGAATTTCAGGGGATTGATAGTTTCGTTGTAGGAGAAAAAGTCTTAGAATCTCAGTGACTTCAGACCATTTTTTAGATCGTCAACAATCTGATGCCAATTTGTTTTAATTCTAACTAGAAGGCTTAAATTGACTAAAATTGATGTATTCTTATCATTAATTAGAACATAAATGAGGAGGATATTTGTTCAGATTTCCATATCTAATATAATTGCTATTTCTTTTAAATCTTATGAGCCATTAAAGTAATTGAAAACTTGTGTATTTCCCTCTATGAAATACAAAAAATTGTTGGAACAAGAAAAAAGATTGCTGTATAGGTTAAATCAACTTTTTGAAAAAATTATCCAGATTTTCTATATCTTAAAGTGTCCAGTTACAGTTGAATCACTCCCTTGCTCTCTCTCTCTCTCCCTCTGATAGGTATGAAGTGTTCAGACTGTGGGTACAACGTCCACGAGAAGTGCGTCCCTCAGGTCCCGAAGCAGTGCTCGAGGCGGGGCTCCACCAAGGAAAGCTCCGCCCCTACCAGGCAGGTTGCTAAGGAAGACTCTAACCCCGCCCACACCCCGACAACGGACAATGTTCGCTCTTTCACACAGGGTAAGAGTCATTTAGTAATGAAAAAAACAATCTGTATGAAGAATGCTTGTAGTCATAGTATATACTTGTAGGTTAGTCATCTTCAAAGTAAAAGCGTAGTCACTGTTATATGATAGTCATGTTTAACTTATAGCCTAAGTAACATGCAATTTATAGTTGTAAGAGAAAGTAAAGTTATAAAACAGTGAACCAGAATGCCCTAAGCGCCGTGTTTTATGTACTTACATGTATATCATAAACTACAGATGTACAGATTAAATGACTTGAAAATGGCAATAAAACAGGGGACCTTTAGCGATGAAATGGCGAGTCTATTATTATCCTTGAAAAGTATGGAGTACCATAGTAGACCAAATTGGTTGAGGTTAATAGTCAAAAAAAGATAGAAAAAGAGAGAGAAAATGTAAGTGACTAGAACAATTAAATCCTGATTTTAGCTATGTAATAAATATATACCGGTATTAAAATTGTTTGTTTAGGCTTAATATCGTCTTACTTGAGTCAATGGAGGTGTCACATTATTTTCTTTGTTGTCATTATCATATCATATCATATCATGTGCATTCAAGTTATACTATTATAGTTATTGTAAGGTTGTAGTAATAACGCCCTTAATAATTCTCCTTCATCACCCTTGTAGGTTACGAGCAGTTCAACAACCTGATTGACGAGACAAGGTCACACGAAGGTCATCTCTATAAGAGAGGAGCGAGACTCAAGGGATGGAAGCAGAGATGGTTCGTACTCGACTCACAGAAGCATCAGGTAAATATCAGCTGCCCTTCAAATTGGCAACACTAGTATTTTCTGATGCATTTTGATGTTATCTTTAAAGGAATCTGGTAACTTTGTCTCAGATTCTGAAACAAAATCCTGGATTTAACTCATGCTGCAATGATAATTGTAAACCTTTAGGTCAGGAACTCCATTACTTTTACACTCCGATTGCCTGTCTCATTATCAAGATATTTATGATTGGAAATCGAAACCAAATTTTGCGTTTACCAAACGTAAAACTGGTCACTGAAGGATTTTTACTTTATTGAGGCACTTGATCATTTTGAAGCGCGATTTTTTTTTCTTCTCAATATTACACCATATCACAGACACTTATAACACGTAAGGCCGTGCATCTCAGATTTAACATTTTTAAATGATGCCTTTAATGGGGACTGTTTAACTTAAAAGTGAAAAAATTTGAGTGCTTGCTTATCCGTAAGGGTAAAACTTGAACAACAGAGGAAGAGAAATTGAGGTAAAATTTAGTTCAAGGAATACTGGAAAGTTATTTCTTACAGATTCAGACAAATTTCCCAGATCATATGTAGCTATTAGCTCATAAAGTGTGATGGATTGAATATTCCTGGATACATTTTCAACATTATCATCCTCATAAATAATCATCACTATCACTATCATCACCACCATCATCCTCATAATCCTCCTCATCATCATCATCATCATCATCACTACCATCATCCTCATAATCCTCATCATCATTATCATCATCATCATCATCATCATCATCATCATCATCATCACTATCATTATCATGATCTCATCATCATCATCACCACCAATGCCAACACCAACGCCAACACAAACGCCAACGCCACCACCACCACCACCATCATCACCATCATATTCATCACTACCATCATCCTCATAATCCTCATCAGCATCATCATCATCACCATCATCATCATCATCATCACCATCATCATTACTTCCACCGCCTCTGTCACTGTCGTCATCATCGTCATCATCATCTCTAATTTTTTTCTCCCCAGTTGAGGTACTACGAAGCCCGTAACGACCCTCACTGTAAAGGGTTCATTGATCATCACCACCGCCATCGTCATCATCATCTTCATCATCATCATCTTCATCATCATCATCATCATCTTCTCATTCTTTATCATCATCTTTATTATCATTATCAACATGACCATCATCAATATCTCTGTTTTCCTTTCCTTGAGGTTGAGTTGAGGTACTACGAAGCCCGTAACGACCCTCACTGTAAAGGGTTCATTGATCATCACCACCGCCATCGTCATCATCATCTTCATCATCATCATCTTCATCATCATCATCATCATCTTCTCATTCTTTATCATCATCTTTATTATCATTATCAACATTACCATCATCAATGTCAATGTCTCCCTTTCCTTCCCCAGTTGAGGTACTACGAAGCCCGGAACGACCCTCACTGTAAAGGATTCATTGATCTGAAGGAGGTGGAGTCTGTTCAGCCGGCGTTTGCCAACCCCTCGGCACCCAAGAAAGTAGAGGACAACGCGTTCTTTGATGTAAGTCTGCTGCCCTCATCTTGAAACATACTCCTGTTAAACCATAATTTGTTATGTTCATGGAGTGTTTACAAATTTTGCCAGTGGTTTAGACTCGAGAAAGTGGATTGCTGAGAAATCAATGAATCGCAACTAATTGCTTTTTCAAGATCACCTTGGGAAACGGTCTCAACCATGACCCTCAAAAGCAGTCATTATTTGTATATTTGTCATTATTTGGAGGTCCCCAAAAATGTTTTCTGGGTCTGTACTAAAATTCTGATATTCTAGCTCTTCCTCATTATATTGTATTTTTGAAAACATTATTTTTATTTATCATTATTTTTCTATTAATGGCAAAGTTATCAATGCTAAGTTCAATGCAACATGGCCCAAATAACTATTTGTCTTAACTTTATTTTGATTTGTTATTATTTTACTATTAACGGCAAAGTTATCAATGCAACATGGCCCAAATAACTATTTTGTCTTAACTTTATTTTGATTTGTTATTATTTTACTATTAATGACAAAGTTCAATGCAACATGGCCCAAATAACTATTTTCTCTTAACTTTATTTTGATTTATTATTATTTTACAGCTGAAAACCACAAAGAGAGTGTACAACTTTATAGCAGACACTAAAGTAGCAGCTGAAGAATGGATTAGTAAAATTCAAGACTGTTTATCATGATACCAGACTAAGCAATACATCCACATGTATGTGTAGGACCCATGGACTTTGTAGCGAGATGGGATTGTTCACCAGTCTCTTTGAAACCTGGTCAAGAGTTGGACTCTGATTGTCATGATTAAGAGACTCTGATGGTTGTGTGGTTTATATTGAAAGGTGATGCACTTAGAGAGGATGGTTTACCAGTCTCTGTGAACTAGGAAAAAGAGAGTGGACTCTCTTAGTCATGATAAACATTGTGGTGGAAGCGTAATACTAATATGTGATGCAATGAGAAATGATCTGTTACCATTCTCTTTGAACCATGGAAAGAGAGTGGACTCTGTTTGTCATAATAACCTGAGCCTGATGGAAGTGTAATACTCAAAGTTGATGCCTTGAGAAATGTTTTGTTACCAGTCTCTGTTAACTATAATGAAGAGAGTGGACTCTGATTTACTTGCTAAACAAAATTCTGATTGAAATGGAACATACATTGTAGGCTGCTGATGCATTTAGAAAGGATAATCTACCAGTCTGTGGAGTTCATTATGAAGAGGCTTCTCAACAGAGTGGTTAGAATCAATATCATATATTGTAGCTATGAGTGCATTGAACTAAGTTACATGTACTTGAAGAGAGATTGCAACATTCTCCTTTTGTTTTAATTGGTATTAAACGAGTGATACAAAGAGATTTCTACAGTGACTTGATAACAATTGTGAGAGATAGAGCATCTTCTTATATCTCTATGCTCAGTTCTGAAATATGCTATTGTTTTAACATTTCGTTTGCTTCCTTTGCCTCTCTGCACAGTCTCTTTGTGTGCCAAACATGCAATTTTGCACAAAAACAAATAAACAATAGACATCTATTGACAGAAGATTTCCTTTGAGCAACACAAGGGCTTTGCAAATTGCCCATTTCTGGCCTTGATTAGCTCCAGGACCACCCTTTAAAATTGGTATAGATTAATCTTGCCCTGGAAACAGTTAAGTAATCTTGAAGCCCTTGGTATACCAGTTAAAGAGAAGGTTGAGTTCTGGGAAGAGGTGAAAAATAATTTGTGAGCATTATCATTGTTATTATGCAAGGGTGGATGAACATCAGATAAAACATGTTCCCTGAAAAGCTTGGCTCTTCAAATGCCTTCATATTCTAAAAGCCTAAAAATCAGTACAGATTTTTATGCCACGTGTTCGTGTAGTCCCATATACATCCCATATACATCCTTCCGTGCACAGTGCTTGTAACTTTACCAAGACTTGGCCAAATATCTTATCATTTTGATGATTCCAGAACCTTGCAATACACAAATACTTTTATGCTAGATGATGAACCTTTTCTGATCGATTCCACACCGTTTCTTTTACAATGCAATCGCCTATTAAACCTGGGGGGTGTTTCACAAAGATCCTAAGTTGAACTTATCTCTAAGTTGGACTTAAAAAATATGGAAAGCCATTAGCATCCTTGAAAACATTTTGTAATTTTTTTTTTAGAAGGCATAAAATGTTGATTCAAATCATTCATATTTTCTATTATCATGGGAGATTTCATGTTCTTGATGTGGAATTCATGAAAAGTCTAAAATACTCCAATTTTTGCTTTTTAATATATTTCATTTTAAGGCTCCAATGGCTGTCCATACTTTTTAAGTCCAACTTAGTGTTAAGTTCTACTTAGGATCTTTGTGAAACACTCCCCAGAACTCAACCTTATCTTTAACAACTAAATTATTCATGCCCTGACTAAGCTCTGTAATTTTTTAAGTACATGAAAAATTAATTTGTCCCAATTTATGTTTCTTGATAATGTGACATATTAAAGCTTACATCTAAAAGTATTCAACAAAGGCCTTAGTTCAACCAGTCCACCTATCATTTGTGAAATAAATGAAAGTTGCAAAAAATCATCAAATTTACAAGGGGTGTGAATAATTTAGTTGTTAATCATATATATCCTATGAGAAATATAATGTGGCAGAGGGATATTATTTGTGTGGCATGTAAAGGGTTAATAATGAGAGCCAGTTTATATCCATATGATTTAATGGTCTGGCCAGCATCAGTTACTAAATAAAGAGAGAGAGGTGAATATATCTTTTGTTCTTTTCTTTTAGGGTATTGAATATTAAATAAAAATAAAGGGATAACGACTATTTCCATTACCTGTGTACACATTATAATTGGAAATTGAGAAATTCATTGTCTATGACTGAAAAAAAATGCTGTTTGATGTTCAATTTTAACCCACAATTCTGTACTATCACTTTCTCACATGGAAAAATATCACATTATATTAGGTGATAACTTGAAAATTTGCTGAAACAGTTTTTTTCAGGAGTCTTACACCTCTGAAAGATTTTGATTTGTTTTAAGTGAAAGGTAGGTTATTTGGTGTTTTATTTGACGCTTTCAGACAGAGAATAGTGTGATTTTGGGACCAATTGATCATGATATGCTGTGTGTTTATAACAGGGCTATATTTCAAGGTGTGTGTTTTTTTGGTCCCATACATCTGACATTTTGGCATGGCTGATGACTGTATTGAAGGGAAAGTTTGGTTATTGTGAAAGTTTAGAAATAAATTGACTTTTTCCAGACTTTTTGTGTTAGGTCGGTAGATTGACATAGAATACCGATAAATGTCCCCTGAAAACCACTGCTCTTCAAATGCCCTCATATTCGTAGCTGAAAGGTTTGGATCTCAAGTGAAATATGAAACAAATGAGAGGTAGAAAATAATTTAAAACGCGGTTGTGTTCAAGCGATTTTTTGTTGGTTGTAAAAAAATTACTTGAACGCAACCGTGTTTTAAACTAAACATCTTTGAAAAATCATGTTTCTAGGGTGAAAAAGTGTTGCTTGAACGCACCCTTAGATATCCATCCTTGGATGTAAATTCTACAAGGGTAACCTGAGCTACACAATGCGTGTAAAACCTATGAGGGCTGTGTGTATACGCTACAGTCTACACACATTGTCCCCAACCAAAGCGTTGAGATTACTGAGCTTTTACTTTGCATATAGCAATCTAGCAATTATCCATTTAGTTAATTCAAATGTTGCTGATATTATGGGTACGCAAAAGAGAGCTGCAGTATGAACAGGGCATACTAAGAGTTTTCATTTCCAGAGTTTGAATACACCGGTTAACTAACATTTTCAAATTAATGTTTGTTTATTTCCTGGGTACCTGGTGACGAGTTATTCCATTAACCTGTTTTCCTAACGATTGAAATTAGATACTTGGAATCCATTCTGCATACATTACATGTTGCTATGTCAGGCAAGCCTTGGGCAAGCTTTCAGGTTGTCAAGAACAACCTTTAAAAAGTATGCATGAAATTTGAATATTATAGTAGACCAGTATATTACGTCAATGTCTCTACCGAGACTTAGCTACATGACTCTCTTAGTAGTGATTATTGGATCTCTCTTGAAAATTTGCATAATCAAATAGGAACTGTTTTGCTTCAGTTGCCCATCACGTAAAGAAATCACACCTCCATGAACTTAGACAAAGTATATTAGAGATGAATAAACAGAACTAGAAAATTTAAAATTAACAGTGTATATAGGCGAAAACAAATATTTCTGCCTTTTGTTTTCTGTATAATTGAAGTACTAATTTCCGTAGACTAGAGACGTTTTGTGGTAGTATATATTTATATATATAATAACTTGTAATATATCGAAATTAACTCGCTTGTAAATAAATCTTGTACATATTCATACTGTGATTATATATACTGTATCAGCTATTTAAGAGATTCCCATGAGAGTAATAATGACACTTTTTTGTTTCTCTCCTGGTATAATAATCGTTGCCAGGACGATTTGAATTTTATCTTGTATCTTTGTTTACTACTTTTGTCTATGAAGCGTGCAATGGTAAGGTGAACAGATGAGCCTGTATCTAAGAATATAATATATTATTGTGTATATGAATAAGTGTTACAATAAGGAGACTATTAACTAACTGTCTGAATTTGGAAGTTTTCTTCTTCATTTTTTTTTGTCTGAGGAATAGGGTACATTGTATGTATTTGATGATATTCAATGCAATAACTTGGTCATAGTAATGTAGCAGTATTTTTCTGTTCAAACTTTTATTATCATTTTTTGGTTGGTTATTTCACTCATCTGCTTCATAATCATAAACTATCTAAGTACAATGTAAAATGATTTTTTTTTCTTCTTGTTTTAATTGAAAATGGGATTGGTTTTATTGATACCCCTAACATGGCCGCCTTTTGGCAGAATAGCAGTAAGATTACAGTAAAGAAAAAAAGGGTAAATTTATATCACAGTTTGAATGAATGTTACATGCCAAGAAAAGATTAAATGTCAGACCTATGAAATCGATACTCTCTTAACTTGCAGCATCTCATTCTTAACTTTGTAAATTTGGTAAGTTGATTAGAGAAATCATTAAATTCCCATGCAGACAAGATGTTGTACACTGCCCCCCCCCATGAAAACACCCCAATTCACAAATTGATTGGAAGTTCAACTCTTCTCTTCCCATCCTTCTTCTGTTCCCTTCCCCTTCTTTTTCCTTCCTCCCCTCTCCCCATTCCCTTCTTATACCTCTCTTGTTGTTCCCCAAATCCCACTATCCACTCCTATTCCTTTGCCTGTCTGCTATCTCCTCCCCCTCCCCTCCTGTCTCCCCATCACTCCTGCCTCTTCTCTCTCTCTCTTCGTTCTCTCCATCCCTTCTCTCTTCTCTCCTTCCTTTTGATTTGTCCAGGTTTTTAAATGTATAAAGGTAAAATTGCTCCAGGGTAATGGGTGCAAAATATCCATTCAATATTGTTTAAATATTGCCTTCAGAGGTTTAGATGGCAATACTTCAACCTAAATTCGCATAAAAAAAACAAGTGCATTTGCGATATCAATTCAGGCCGGATCATTATACCAAATATATCAATTAGTGGGTGGTTCCCGGCAAAATTGGTATCCTTACATATTAGTCAAAACATATTCTTTCACATGATTGGTAATAAGAGCTTCCATTTCATTTTTTGAGAGGGGGGGGGGGGCGTAAAAATGATTATGCAACTCTAGGATTCGGAGAAGGAAGCCAGTCGGGGCATTCAATTAAGAATGGGCCTTTTACAATAATCATTCCAAATTTATTAACCCCCGCCCCTTTGTTTAACAAAATTGTTCCTCTGAGTCTTCAGGTATGAGGAGAAAACAGGAATTGGAATTCACTGTATACAAGTGCATGTTCTGCAGGCTAACCATACGACACTATGCCCTCAAATCGTATATATGATATATTTCTATGTTTATTAACCCCCACCCTGTTGTGTTAAATGATGAAGAAGTGGCTCTATTTGGGGAAGGGAAGGGCATGTTTGTGAAATGCCCCTTTTAATTTGTGAAACTATATAGTCCTTGGATCTTGTTAAATTACTTTATGAGATGTGACTGGGTCGATTGATTTGTAATTTTACTCATTGTCTTGTTTCAAACAAAGATAAAAACTTATTTGTAAAAAAAATAATATGTGTATTTGGTCTTTGAGTGTTTTATGCCTCCCGCTATAGTTGATTGTGTGTTGTGCTGTCTTTACTTTGGTACGTATATGTGAGTGTGTATGTCGGCCTAAAGCGATACTGAACTGATGAGCTCTCTGGCCTAGTACTGTTTAGTGTCCCTTTAAACTTTAAAGTGACACTAGTACTGTTTATTGCATAGCGCCATCTCATGGTCGACTTGTGAGCAGTGTGTAACCCAACACCTTATTTCCACTTTACAGACAGAGGACTCGATGCTATGCGAGAACCAACAGTGTAGTCTAGTTCTGGACCCTATTGATTTTTGTTATTTGCCGACTATAAGCATTAAGCCGAGTGATGGCGCGATCCTTAGTGACCGCGCGAGAACCGCTCGATAATAGAGCGGTTCTCGGGGAATGCGCGATCACTCCGCTTAACGCTTATAGTCGGCGAATAACAAAAAACAATAGGGTCCAGAACTAGACTACCAACAGTGTAGCTAGGGAAGCAGCGAGTTACAGGACCATACTGCTACAGTTGACCTGAGATGGCGCTAGATGGGATTGTGTGGTAGTGCTTCTAGTACAGTATGGCTTTAATTATGCATGTATTGATTTCAAATGCACACATATTGTCAAGAGCCAGATGATACATTCACCTTTTGTGAGATCCATGTATATACACTCAGCAAAAAAAAAGGAAGTGGACACTCTTTATTGTTAAAAGTTTTCATATAAACCGTTTATAAAAGGATAAAGAAATATATGTCAAATTAAAAGAAAATTAACACTCTACCAACATATGTTAAAGCTCCACTGCACTAATTATAGCTACTTGCACCCTCTATATAGCAAACTGCCTAATTGGTGCCTGTTGGTCCCCCATGATCCCCTTTTTCTTATGTTAATTGAGAGCTGATTTGATGAGATAACCACCTGTCAGTGACCTTAAAGGGAGGTCTAATACCCTGGCCAAAATAGTGCAGACGGGCTTTAAGATCAATTTTGAACTTTGACACTTGGGTGAGCACATTCTTTTAACTATCAAAAGGTCTGATTAAGAAAATTTCAAAAATAGAGCAAGTAGCCATTCAAACGTAAATGAATTTGCACATCTCTAGGATTTTCTTGTTCAACAATGAAAACAAAGAAAGAGACACTGAAGAAGATTGAGCTCTGGATGTCAAACTGTCAATCTACATTTGCCACTCTCCACCCAGGTGTAAATGGGTACCTGATATGCTTGAGCGCTAGTTACTTTGGCAGCTTGGCTACAACCAGGGCAATATGCCTACAGCGCCATGAGTGTCAGAACCTGGCGGATACCGGCGCTATATAAATAACTATATTATTATTATTATTATTGTAGTCTCAGGAAAAGCATCGGCAAAATGCCTCTCCTTTTGTGTTTCTTGTGATTGATATTTTGTCTTCATGGTTTTAATTTGACTCTAAAAGATGGAAATGCTCATCAATCTTTGAATGGCCAGATGCTCCATTTTTGCAAATTTCATTCAGAGACTTATTCATTGTTAAATGGCTATTCTCATTTTGTGTAAAAGGTATGTTTCCAATTGCATATCATCTTAAAGGATTGATTTTTTTTTTTGATTTTTTTTTTTTTGGGGGGGGGGTATATATATATATATATATGAAAGATAAATTTATGTTCAATATTTATTTGAAAATCTTAAAGGGGAAGTCCACCCGTATATTATATTGGTTTTAAGAAAAGCGGAAAGATTTAAGAACTTTGAGCAATTTCTGATTAAAAATAGTAAAGATATGAATGCGTATGGGGTGTGTGTGTGTGTGTGTACATATAAATATTTGTAAACATCATGTATATATAAATACGCGCGTGTGTGTGTGTGTGTGTGTGTGTAGGTTTTTTTTGTATTCCCTTATCCTCCATACGTTGTACTCTTAAGTTCTTCTACCAAATGACTTTCCTTAGCTCGATCATATTGCTCTGAACATCTACCCTTACCTCCATGCTCTGAACGAGTCCCAATAAATGAGCCTTATAAGGACTACATCCGAGGTGAAAACAACCATACATCGATGGAAAGCTAAGTAGACGTAGAGTACATATATATATATATATATATATATATATATATATATATATATATATATAACGTCATGAACAGCGTTCATACAATAGCCAAGTTAAACTTTTGTGGGCAAAGTTTGTAAAATTTGTTGAAGTTTGTGGTTGCTGGTTTTTGAAGAGATGGCTGCCTCAGTTATCCGGGAAGACGACCTCGTATTTTGACTGTTTTTAAAGTATTGTTTATGAAATCAAACGAGTCCAGATATAATACAATTTGAAAACAAAAGAAAAGTTTTATTATTAATTTTAACATTTTGGTGGTTGTAATCCACAAAAGGATACAAATTGGCTTCTTCTCGATGTTATCAAAAAATAATCTCATGAACCTACATTTATGATAATCCTTACTTTGTGTATACTATTCTTATTTAGGTTTTAAGTAAAAATGTACTTTTGATAGATTTTGTTCATTTTAGAAAGGATTTCGAAGTAAGAGAAAACGAGATTTCTAATTATAATTGATTGCTTAAAGATGAAGTTGAGTTCTGATCATGCGATTGCATTGTGAAAGAAAACGTGGGGAATCGACCAGAAATGGTTGATCATCTAGCATATAAGAATTTGTGTGTATTGCAAGGTTCTGGAATCATCAAACTGATGAGAAACTTGGCCAAGTCTTGGTACAGTTACAAACACTGTACACATAAAGATGTATATGGGACTACACGAACACGTGGCATAAAAATCCTACCCTGGAATTTTACGATGTTACATGACATATTTAGAATATGAAGGTATTTGAAGAGCCATGCTTTTCAGGGAACATGTCTTATCTGATGTTCTTCCACACTTGCATAATAAGAATGATAACGCCCACAAATTATTTTTCACCTCTTCCCCGGAACTCAACCTTCTCTTTAAAATAATATTCTTGAACTTGTTTCAGAAGAATATCCATTTTAAAACAAAGCACAATTGCAAAGACCTTCAACATAATCATCTCAAGAGCAATATCATTTGAAAACATTGTCTTACATTCTCCATCTTTGAATAACTATATTTTTCCCAGAAATCATCTGGAGAATATATGCCAACGCTTTGGCGATTGACTTCGACTTTGAGTGAAAGAAAAAAGTGAAAGCACTTTAAGAATGTCTACTGTTAAAAGACACACCAGTGTGCAGATGTAAAAACTTCAATCTCTTAGAGAAAGAGTATGTCATTATTTACTATAGCACTTACTCTGCCTAAGAGTATAAATCTACTGCTGTACAGAGTCCTCTTTTATTTTTCAATTCCATGCTCAGCCTTAACAGAAAACAAAGAGAAACAAAAGATGATGGAATAGAAACCACATGAGAGAAATACGATATGCAAGTTTTGTTTAAGTTAATATAAACACACTGAGTGATCTACTGCTGTACATTCCCTCTTTCAATTTTTAATTAAATGCTCAGCCTTAACAGAAAACAAAGAGAAGCAAAATGAAATGGAATAGAAACAATATGAGAGATATTCGATATGCAATTAACAAAGATATACAAAACGCACCTGAGTGATCTACTGCTGTCCTCTTTTATTTTTCCATTTCATGCTCAGCCTTAATAGAAAACAAAAAGAAACAAAAGGAGATGGAATAGAAACCACATGAGAGAAATACGATATGCAATTGTTATTTTTTAAATAAAACACACCTGAGTGATCTACTGTTGTACATGTCCTCTTTTATTTTTCCATTTCATGCTCAGCCTTAACAGAAAACAAAAAGAAACAAAAGGAGATGGAATAGAAACCACATGAGAGAAATACGATATGCAATTGTTATTTTTTAAATAAAACACACCTGAGTGATCTACTGTTGTACATTTCCTCTTTCATTTTTCAATGTCTTGCTCAGCCTTAACAGAAAACAAAGAGAGACAAAATGAGATGGAACAGAAACCACATGAAAGAAATACGATATGCAATTAAAAAAGATGTACAAAACACACCTGAGTGATCTACTGCTGTACATTTCCTCTTTCATTTTTCAATTACATACTCAGCCTTAACAGAAAACAAAGAGAAACAAAATGAGATGGAACAGAAACCACATGAAAGAAATACGATATGCAATAAAAATTTAATAAAACACACCCGACGACTTTAAAAGTTCACGATCGCAAAGACTTTTAAGAAATGATCTTAATAGCAAATTCAAAACTCTATAGTGAATCCCAATGGAATCATATTTCGACTATTGAGTGCCAGTACATCATTGCTATGTTCGCACATTTAAATAGTTGAAGGACAAGGCTATTTAAGAAAAGAAATCAAGTCCACGAATATTCTACCCGACAGGCGTTTTCCTATCACCTTCCTAGAACGAGAACAAGCTTTGCTCAAAACACCTTAATATAATTATACAGGTCCTAAGTTCTGGAATTCTCTCGATTCTGTGATTAAAAGGTCTGTAAGTGTACATGTATTCAGAAGAAAATTGAAAAGTTATTATTTGAAAACATATTGTCATTCCTGATTCCTGACTATTCTTGTCTCCAACTGTATACTTTTGTTCATTACAATGAGTAACTAACGGTATGACCATACCAACTATGTTTATTATATACTCATATCGAGAACAAACTATATTGTAATATTGTTTCAATAAGCTGCAGATAAATTCCCTTCCCTTTTCCTTGTCTTTTGTAGTTAATTGTGAGTATCGGTTCATGTATCCCTGTAATCTCCCTTTCCCCGTTTTAGCGTGTATTTGTATTTTATAAACTTTACTTTAGTTACTTATGTCATTTTTTAGTTTAAGGAGCCTATCCACAACAAGCTCTGCATTTTCATAGGCTCCGCCACTTTATCTCTTAAGTTAAAATTAATGGACAATATTCTGAATAGTGTGTACCGGTATTGTGTACATGTATAAAATAATCATTTTCAATGTTGTTACACTCTTTATAAAATGAGATATTGTGGAAACCAATAAACTATCTATCTATATACTATTGACATTGCCTTTGGATGTTACTCGAAAGTCTCTGCGATCGTCTTAAACACACTTTTGCGAGAAAGACCAAGGATTTCTATCTTTTCAACATAATTCTACGTATACAGTGCATACATATTGCTGTGTATATTTATCCTACGACCCCGGTCACGTGATGCATATTCTGCAGCCTATTGTCTGGCGAGGATGAAGGCAGCCAGCATGGCCACGCCCATAGCAACGAAGCTGGTTGTCACGGTGGTACCTCCATTGCAGAGGTTGGATTTGCAGCAGTAGGTACAGATACCCAAAAAGCAGCCCTCAATACAGACGGGAGCACATGAACGCCTTACTCCTGATCCAGAAACTGTTTTCTAAATGATAAAAATAATAACAACAACAACAATAGTATTGGCGGGTGTGGTAGTAGTAGTAGTAGTAGTAGTAGTAGTAGTGGTGGTAGTAGTCATGGTATTAGTAATAATACAGAGAAGAAAATTATATTAATGATACTGCAACCACTCCTACTATAACTACTACTACAAATTATAATAATAATGATAATGTTAGCTATGATAATAATAATTATAATAGTTTTATTCAATAATAAACTAATCGCACTAATGATAATCATAATACAAATAATACTACTACTACTTTTACCATGAATTATATCCATATTTAGGATAATAATGATAATTGTAATATAATGATAAGTAAATATTATAATTAACAAGAAATGCTTAATTTGGCTTCTATTATTGCATTGTTTCACAATTTGTATCATACTGAAAAATGGTACTTTATTTAATATCTGTTGTTTCACCTTTTGCACTAGTAAAGCTTGAGCAATTAATTTCAAATGGATCTCCTGCCTTACAAGTCATATCTAATAATAATAATAATAATAACAATAATAATAAAAATAATAATGATAATAAAAATAATAATAATAATAATTTGATTTGATTTGATTTGATTTATTTATTTCTGTTGAAAATAATTTAGAAAATGACAAAAATTATAATAACAAAAATATGTGCCATGAAAGTTTAATCAAAACAATGCTGCTTCTTCTATTTCGGAGCACTTGAAAATAATTCCATTTGGGGGCCATCTTATGTTATTTTTCACCTTTACTAGAATACACCCTTCTCTTCATGGGAGATATCATTACAGATATGCTTTTGAGTCAAATAACACTTGAGGTCAACCAGAAAGCGAAAAATATAAGGAAATAGAGCAAATGATAATCTTCTGACGTAGGTGAAAGTATACCTCCTGTTTGTGAATAAAGGGAGAAAAGAATAGGGAATGGCCGCACATAATGATGATATTAAAAACGATACCCTTTTTGAGAATTTCGAAGGGAAAAAATAGTTGGTGAACATTCCTTCTTAATGAGATTAAACAAATGCAAGTGAATGTCTTACCGAACAATGTCTGATTGGAATGAAAGTTTTGGGACAAGTGTTTTGCGATGCTCTTGAAAAAAACGACAAAAACGGAAAGAAAGGATCATCACAAGCCCAATTGTCACACGTGTAGCAATCAATGGCCCAGGTACCTGTGTTAGAAATGATAATGACAATATCAGACATTATAAAACGGGTTCTAGAAAGTAGGCAATCTAATTGGTCAAATGAAAACCCGTGACCATGCATCATTCTTTCCTAACACGCCTACCGTGCAAAAACGTTCCATTCAAAGGTGATAACCCACGGCTAAAAGCGATGATGCGCGGCTAAGATGCGCGTTCATTGGTATCTCTGGCGCGTACAAAATTAAGACGAAATGCAATGCACTAAGTTTAAAATGGCAAGCAAAGACATTAGACCCATTTACATTTCTCATACACCATTTTGACCCCCCCCCCCCCCCCCCCAAAAAAAAAAAAAAAAAAAAAAAAAAACAATGTCGGTGCATGTTTGTTCGATCATTACGATTTTTTGATGAGAAGGGTGCATTTCTACCACCATGTTCACGTGCATGCATGACATGTCAAAACACCCTCAATTGCTTTCGGCAATCCCCAGTGTAACCATTTATCCCATAGGTGGAGAGTGGCAATGTAGATGAATGTCTCACCAAAGGACGTTGGTGTCGGGCTGGGATTAGAACCACAAACCAAATGCTTCACAACTCGTTTGCGTATCCACTATATCAAGACGCGTTATACCATGTAATTTGATAGATTAAACTTCTCATTAGCAAACAACTATTTTCGAAGGAAAAGGAAGCCCAAATACCCTTTCCACGGATTCATGATTACATTTGCCAGATGAATACAGGGGTACAAGAATACTTGGCAAAAGTGAGATGTAAAATAAAAACAGAAACCAGTAATGAAGAATTAAATATTTTATAATGTCCACCTAATTGTATCCGTTTAGAGCCGGCATATATAACTATTACCGTAATGTGAGTTACATAACAACTATTTCTGACGATAACAGATTAGGTCAATAAGAGAAAGCATTATAGTGATTTGGGGAAGAGCCGAAGGGAATGAGGAAACGGATTATGTAAATAAGGGGAAGGGCGTAAGTAAGGGAGAAGTTAAAAGTAAATAAGGGAATCGACTAAGGGAATTATCAAAGGAATTATCTAAATAAGGAAATGGATTAAGTTATTAAGGGCAATGATTGAGAAAAGGGATTGCGCGAAGTAGGGACAGAAGTTTAATTGAATAATAGAGCGGGTTAAGTTAATAAGGGCAGTGATTAGGTGATTAAGGGAGTGAATAAGCGAATGTATTAAGTGAATAGGGTAATTACTTTTGTTGATAAGGGAAGGGCTTAGGTTAATAAGGGAAGGGATTATTAAGGGCAGAGATCAAGTGAATAAGGGAAGTGATAAATAAAAGCAAAAAGGCCTTACCTACGACCATTGAGATCAAAAGAAGAGGAACAAAGAACAACTTCATGACTAACTCGTCTGCCTGAACGTATTCTAAATGATAACACACACAAAAATGAAATATATTCGATGATAATCACTTAAGGATAATAACAATTACTTTACATTTAGACCTACCCAGGGTAACTTCATTTAATAATAATGTCCATTTATATATAGAGCAGGTATAAAATAGGATAACAAAATTGCCCTTGGTACTGATTTTCGAATTAAATTTCAATTAAATTTAATGAATATTTTTTCCCTTCACAAAAACAAAATGAACATACCATGATGTTTATAATTACAATGTTATGTATGAAGGTGGCGAAATTCCCTAAAAGCACAGGGCTTGAATAGGAAAGGGGCGAATAAAGAAAAGTACAACCATTACATTGAAGACTTTTTTTTGTTTTTGATTTTAACTGTTGTACCCAGACAATATGTATATATAGGATTATCCTAATTGAATTATTTGTTCTACATATAATTACATACATAATTATATAAAATAAAAGGATTTAATCTGGTATCGCAAAAGCCCCTGGCCCGTCTCCGTGTCATTTGGTCTGAATGGCGTTAGACCATATGACAATTGGACAAAACGACAATAGAAAGCAAAGGACAAGTATCCCGGGTTCACCCACTCCAGCAAAGCATAGAGAGTCAATGCTAATGCGTATTGACCTCTAACACTGCATGCTTGCTGTGAGGCGGGTTTTATTAGACCTAAACACAAATATACACACCACACAATATTGCATAGACTGCACACAATCATGTCGATGCAGCTGTAAGCAAATTTTGACACTATAGACTTACAATTTGAATTTTTAAATTATTCTTTTTAAAATCAGTAAGTTAAAAAAAAAAGTATTTTACTGTTATTTGGTGTCATCAATTCTCACTAAAATACCGATTTTGAGTGAAATCAGTTGAGTTTTGTACAGTGGTGTTTGAAATGTTGAGAATCAAAAGCACATCTTTTACTACACAGCCAGGATAGTGATGCTCCTATGTGTGGGTTCACCAGTGGAAATGTGAGTTGCGTACAAATATATAATTTTTCAAACATCTTGTCTTATTCTACAATTACACTAGTATTTGCAACAGGAAATGTTGCTTTTTTAAAGGGTATAGGTGCAGCCACAATGATATTTTATTGATTTTAATCTAAGCGAAAAAATGAGAGAAACATATAAGTGAAAGTTTAAGCAAAATCCGATTACACGTAAGAACATTCTGATTTATGTATGGAAGTTGTAATCAATTAAACAAAAATTAACAACTTTATTTCATATCTTTCCAGGTTCTGTCATATTCGTTCTGTACCGAAGATTTTATTGAAAAGTAGAACTGTGTCATATGTTTCAGAGGTTTGCGTAAAAAAACACATAAATAATGGGCAATGATTATGATATAGGCTGCTTTGACTATAATTATTCATTTTCAAAATGTTAAAGAAATGTTAAAGAAATGTTAAAGAAATGTTGAATGTTAAATAAGAATATGTCTTTTGTCTGATTTCGATGCCCATTCAAAACCATTATTTCAACAACTATAGTTTTTAAATATTTATCAGTTGAATCAATATGCGTACAGTCATGGTTCGGTGGCAAAGCAATGGCCTCGTAACTGTGAGGCTCCAGGATCAAAACCGTGTCGATGTGCCATATTACTGCCCTTTTGTGAGGCATTAATCCTCATTACTGTCATTTATGACTTAATAATCATAGCAGCATACATAATGCTTTAGCAGTCACGCAAAACAAACACTGGCAAATTATTATTCAATAAAATCTGAGAATGTATACCATTATCTAGATCTATTAGGAATAAATCATTGTCAAAATAATTCCATAAATTGGGGTAAAAAAATACTACAACTATATGAGCGACAGTGTAAGTTTTGGTGTGTACTGCAAGGTTCTGGAATCATCAAAATGATAAGAAATTTGGCCCAGTCTTGGTAAAGTTACAAGCACTGCACAGAAAGATGTATATGGGACTACGCGATATCTATCCATTCCGGATAGATATAATAATTTACCACATAATTATATCAAGTAGTAGGCGGTTTCCCGGCAAAATTTGTATCATCACGTATTAGTCAAACATAATTCTTTCACATGATTGTTAATAAGAACTTTCATTTTTTGAGAGAGGGGCGTTTCCAAAACTGGTCTATAGGCCTACCTATAACCTAGTAACTCCATGCTACATATACTTCGTGCCATGAATGAAGTAAGAGAGGGAAAGGAAGGCAATTAGTGACGAAGAGAGAGAAACTGAGAGTGTATATTTTCAAAGTATTAAGTGGGGTGTAGAATGACGAGACTACTGTCTTTCCCGTGCCTGACTCGTTGCCAGTTACGACTATAATAGCGAACTTTCGATTTTAGGCACCTGACGTGGGCTACTTCGCGTGATGTCATATTTATCCCATGCGCATGCGTGAGCTTCTGGGCCCACGTTCCCTTCAAAATCACCCGACGGGAGTCGGGGGCAATTTCCGTGAATCCCCGTCGCCGTACGTCAACGTGAGTATAGTTTCATCATCTTCTTTTGTGTTATTCTTTGTTTTCATTATTCTATTATTTCCTCTTGCTATCTTTTGTTTCTTTTTCTATCACATTTTCTTATGTTATTCTTTGATTTTATCATTCTATCACTTCCTCTTTCCGGCTATCTTTCCTTATATTATTCTTTGTTTCTTACTTTTTTCACCTTCTCTTATGTTATTCTTTGTTTTTATCACTCTATCACTTCCTTTTCTATCTTTCCTTATGTTTTTCTTTGTTCCTTCCTTCTATCACCTTCTTTTATGTTATTTTTTGTTTTACCATTCTATCACTTTCTCTTTCTGTCTTTCCTTATGTTATTCTTTGTTTCTTCCTTCTTTCACCTTCTCTTATGTTATTCTTTGTTTTTATCGCTCTATCACTTCCTTTTTCTATCTTTCCTTATGTTTTTCTTTGTTCCTTCCTTCTATCACCTTCTTTTATGTTATTCTATGTTTTAGCATTCTATCACTTTCTCTTTCTGTCTTTCCGTATGTTATTCTTTGTTTTTATTATTTCCTCTTCCTATCCTTTGTTTATTTTTCTATCACCTTTTCTTATGTTATTTTTTTTTCTCAATTATTTCAACTGTCTATATCTGTCATCCTCATGTTATTCTTCGTATCAGATTTTCGCGCACTGTGAATTTATTACCTGATTTAATCATCTGATCTAAACAAAAAATGGTCACGTGACCGACGAAAGCACCGACGTGAAAAATCGAAAGCACTGCAGCGAAGGGAACGGATGTGAGCTGCGCAACGTCTCCACGCTCCAGTACCTCGTAGTAGCCGACGTCGGGTGCCTTAATCGAAAGCTCGCTACTTATTACGGACGACGCGACCGCAGCAATCACGTGCGTGCAACAAAAGCGAAACCAAAGCGTGAAGAGAACTTCGGTCTGTTTCGCGAACGCCGACCATGTAGAGATTAAGTCGCTGTCTACCGTTAATCAAGTCCATTCGTTTACGTGCAGTTGCCCTTAAGAAGACGTAGATGGCGTTAACCAGTATTTGCCAAGCTACACGGCCTTTAAACCCGGTACTGATGATCATTTATCTGCTATGTGATTGCCAGGTGACGCTGCATAAAAACATAGTACCGTACAGACTCGTTACTGTCATCAAAATAATCAAATAGCATTGAAGAGACGATGAACAACTAAGTCGTTATACGTGAGAATGATCACTTCTATTTCTCTACAGAAATATATACATAAGTATCATAATATATGTGTGTGTGTGTGTGTGTGTGTGTGTGTGCGTGTATGTGTGTGTGTAAATTGTATGATTTTCTCGACAGGGCATTAAAATAAGATCAAGAGCAGCTAATTGGTTTGAAGATGGAGAAAATAATACGCAATATTTTGAACAGTTGTTAAAATCGAATAAAAGGAAAAGTGGTATTAGGGAGGTGTATACAAGAATGGGGAAACTACTAGAGATAAGGAGGACATTTTAAAGGAAATTAAAATATTTTATTAAGATTTATATTCATTAAGGGCTGATATATATCAAAACGACCCTTTCTTCTTTAATGATATTTCAAAGTTAAATGAAAACAGTAGGGAAATATGTGAAGGTAAATTAACTAACAGATGAATGTTTGATAGTCTTAAAAGAAATGAAATTGATAAAGCCCCGGGAAATGATGGGTTAACAGTGGAATTTTATTATACTTTTTGGCCAGCTTTGGGTGATTTGTTAGTAGAGGTATTGAATGAAACATATGAAAGGGGGAATTAACGGCATCTCAAAAACAAGGGGTTATTACCTTAATTGAGAAACAAGCGAAAGATACTCTCCATATAAAAAAAATATCGACCCATCACGCTTTTGAATGTAGATTAGAAAATTGTAAGATTTTTTTTTTTTTAAATAAAAAGAATCTAAAGTTCTAGCAAAAAGAATGAAAGAGGTTTTAAATGAAATAATTCAACATGATCAAGTTGGATATATAAAAGATAAAAATATTGGGGAAGATGTACGATTGATAGATGATATGTTATTTTATTCTATGCATTATGGGAAACAAGGGAAAGGGTTTTTGTGTGCAGTGGATTTTGAGAAAGCTTTCGACTTTGTATTTCATAGATATTTATTTCAAATATTGAAATTGTTCAGTTTTGGAGATTCATTTTGCTCTTGGGTAAAATTATTGTATAAAGGGATAAGTAGTAGTGTTATGAACGGTGCAATGGTCACTCCACGGGGTATTTTGAAATAGAAAGGGGAGTAAGGCAAGGAGATCCATTATCGCCATATTTGTTTTTGGTTGCCATCGAAGTTTTGGCGCATGCAGTAAGGAGGGATAACGGTATTAAAGGGATTACATTTGGAAAATCTGAAATTAGGCAAGTGTTATTTGCAAATGATATGACAATATTTTTGAAGGATATTGATTCGGTTAGAAGGTTGCAATATATTTTTGAATCATTTGAACAAATTAGCGGTCTTAAAGTGAATAAAACAAAGACACATTTTATGTGGATGGGTGAGGATGAGAACAAACAT